CCTCCTGTAAAAGTGGTCGATCATCTGGAGAAAAAGGGGCATTTTTTTCTTTTGGCTGCATGTCAGGGGGTGGGGCTGAGTGGGCTTTTCACATGCAGAGGAAGCATGCACCCTGCCTGGACAAGGCTGCAAGTTTGTTTATATGATTAAAAAAGATCAGCCTATCTTTCAGTGGGGCTCTAATTCACTATGTGAGTCAATCAATTCTAACCACCATTCTTCTTTTTGAAGCAATCTTTCAAATAAGCCATTTATGTCCATGTTGTTGGCATGCCCAGTCCATATCCGCACGGACTTCAGAACTGAGGATCTAAGAAAGAGCATAGTTTTGCATGGGCCCAAGTCCTGACATCCTTACTTAAGTTTTCCTGTCCTTTTCTAGACAAACTCCAACTTAAATCATTATGGTTGTACTAAACTCAATCAGCGATGGTATGGTTTTACATGTGTTGGGGGATGGGAAAGGAGGGAGGGGATGGTCATCCTCTAGTTCTGTGGGTATGAAGCCCCTCCCTTCCTTTCTCCTTCTGTTTTATCTTCTTTTTCTTCCCTTACTGAAGGATCATTCCACCAGCCTTGACTAGAGAGGCTACTGAACATTGATTCTAGCTCCTCTTGCTCCTAATATACTCTTTTCCTTTCTGGAATGGCCCTTAGAGACAAGTGGCTTTGCTTGATAAGGACTCCTTTGCTCTGGGGGAGTCTCCTGTTATCTTGTTAAAGAACTTAACAAATTGGCACAAATGAGACTTAACCAAGGCTGAGGATCCTGTCCAACTTTGTACTGCTTTTAAAATAACTCTTTTTGGTTTACTGCAACTCATGTCTGTTTTAATATGTATAATTCCAGATTCACAGTATGCCATTGAGGGAAACAGCTGAATCACTTTATTCAAATGTACTATTTGAATTAATGTATTTATGGAACTGATTTGTTCACACACTAAACATTTACCACCTGATAAAATTATGAGAGAGAGCACATACCATAGTTAATTTTATACTAGTCAGGAATTCGTTATTGGGCAAGTTTTCACTGACAAATCTGTTACAAATGTTACGAAGACCTCCCTCAAACAGATCATACAGATCTGTCAGAGGTGACATTTGTCCACATCTTTACAATAAAGCAGCACTGAATTTTAATTTGTGGTGTCAGTTACCATGGGTTGCAGTCACAGCTACTTTAGGTTGCCTAGAATGACATGAAGCTCTGCATCAGTCATAAAGTTTGTTCTGGGATTTTTCCCACTGTATGGCATATCCATGGCATGTGCAAAGTATCCTACTCTACAGGAGCTCCCAGTGCAGGGAATTAAATGACTGACAGAATTAACGGCTGAAAGAATAAAAAATCTGGCAGAATTCACTATGCAGTGTGTTGTATGGAGTTGCCAAACAAGAGACTGGACTCCAGAAGTGGGTTATTGCCTTGTGCGGAGACAAAAGATTTGGCTCAGTTGCATAATACTACGTACTCTTGTCCAGTTTGTTAACAAGCATAGGCACACTTGAACAGTGAAGTTGCTAGAAGGTAGCTCACAACACTGAAGGACATACAATACGACTTGCAGAATTCCCACAATAAGGGGAAGCTAGCTAGTGCTCCCCACTAGATTGTGTTCACATGTTTCTCCTAGGAATGTGCTTGAACTGCTTTCTATTACTACCTCTGGCAAAATACATTTACATCCTTTTGAGCACATGGGGACACCACCCACCATTGCCAAAATGGTGTGGCTTTGCAGTTTTGAAAAAATGAGAGGGAACCAACTGTCTGCTCTGAAATCACTGGCCTCCCTCTTCAAAATGGGCTCAAGTTCCAAGGCATCCACTGACCTCAACAATTCTTAACCTGGTTCAATATAGAACAGGTGTATCTGAATAAGCTGCTAACCCACTGTACATAAAAGAGATAAAAGCTCTGCTGAGGGCCAGAGCAGTCAGTCAGACCCTGATCCCCAGATTGGAGAGGAGCCCCTGCCTGCAGAAGTCGCTGCAGTGAAGCTGGGAGCCTAGAGTGAGGCTTGCAGCACACAGAAACCTGAGGTGGGGTACAAGCTTACGTTATATGCGGATGGGTTTATGATTGTAGTTTAACTGGAGGACCAGGTTATAGGGGTGGTGTGGAGGTCATTCGGGGGTGGGGGTTGTGTCTGAGGAGCACTTTGTGCTTGAGTCATGCAAAGGCCAGGAGCCCAGAGGGCAGAGACAGCAAGGGGACTGAGGCTAAGAGGGTGATGTCTAAGTAGCTAAACTGGATTAGAGTAAGACCTGTGAGGCACAGGTGTGGCTATGGGAGATGCCAGAGGTCAAGATTAGGGCCAAGAGGGCCACAATTGGTGCCTTAGGGTTATTAGGGCTGGTAGGGCCAGGATTTGTGCAAAAAGGGCAAGTTTATTGCCAGCAGAGCATGAACAGAGTGAGGCACTGAATAAAGTAATTTTGTCAGTGAACTGAGGATCTGGTGACAAGGGTCTGGGAAAGCAAGTAAAGTGAGTCTGTGGACAGCACTGTCATGATGATTCCAAGACTGGGACAGGCTCCCTATGTGCTATAACAATTACATCAAAGTGTGGGAGGCAAGACAGCAAAAGGGAGTATGCTGAAAAGCTGAAGTGAGAGGCTGAATTCATTTGGCCACTGACCGGGTTGGGGGAGGAACTGCTGCCCTTGGGACTGGTCTTGTCAGGTGAAGGTGACAGCTGACATTCATTCGCAAGTCTAAGAAGGAGTTCAGCTGCTTTTAGGGACAAAAGAGCAGAAGCAGTGTGGAGCTACCATTGCAAATATGGGTCACATCAAAGATGCCCAAAAGGAAGTGCAAGAAGAACAGAAACAACTGTAGACCTCACAGAAATAATATAAGCTGAAGATGTCACAAAAATAAATAAAAGCAACATTTAGAAATTTCCCAGAATGGGACAAAGAATTATTTGTAGGGGAGTAGGGGGGACTGTTGAGCACTGGTGGTTCAATGGTAGAATTCCTGCTTGCTATATAGGAGACCTGGGTTCAATTCCCAGCCAATGCAGATGCTATAGGTGAATATTTTGCATACCTTAGCAGCTGAAGGTAGTCCTTGACAAAGATGCTCATTTTGAGGGAAGCATAGGGTTCCTGATGAATGAAATGGGATGGCTGATAACTGCCACTCAGGAGAAAACCAAACTCCTGAATGATTACTTCATGTTGGTATTCCACCAGCCCAAGGGTGTTAGCCTGCTTGACAGGATAGAGGATGATCACGGTACTAATGTATTGGTCTAGGGGTATGCTTCTTGCTTAGGGTGTGAGAGGTCCCAGGTTCAAATTCTGGACAAACCTGCTTTTCTAGAAACAATGACCACGAACTGAAGGGGAGCAAATTTAGGGAAAATTTCTTTACAGTGAGGGTTGCCAACATATGGAATACACTTTCAAGGGAGGTGGTGCTATGCCCTTCCTTGAAGGTATTTAAGAGGAGATTGGACAAACACCTGGCTGGAGTCATTTGACTCCGGCACTCTTTTCTGCCCAGGGCAGGGGGTTGGATTCGAGGATCTAATAGGTCCCTTCCAACCCTAACTTCTATGTAATCTATGAGGTGGGATTTTCTTTGTTTCCTGGGGCAACACTTCTAGTGTTCTACAATGCTCCCAGCCTAGAGTGGCAAGATTCTAGTCTAGACTTAGGGACGTTTCCCAGGGTGAAACCATAAAATCTTTGGCCAACCTAATACTTGGTAAAAGACAGGAGCTTACAGAAAGGATGGAAATAGCCAATGTCATCTTGGCAAATAAAACCAGGGAGTTATGAACAACAGCACAAGTCAACCACCTGCACGTAGAATTTAGGTAGTTGAAAAGAACTTGGGTAAGAGTAAGTGTTGACAGCAGTTAACCCACTTGTAACCCACTGACCCCCAGACAGGAGAGGTGGGATTGTCCAACTCAATGCAAAAGAAAAAGAGGAAGCTTTATGTGGTTCAATACAACATGGTTAAGATGGTGAATATGGAGCCAGCCCTCAGTTTGAGCTAGCTAGGGTAGTTAATAGCTGAAAAGAAGAAAAGACTAGGCTTTCCTTGAGCAGGCAGAGGAACTGAGGATAATTTTGCATTTCTGAAGTACAAGAATATTAACAAGGAATCCCAGGGTACCAGTTTATAGGTGCTCAGTTGGATAAAGTCTTGCAGATTAAGGTCAGCCAACAGAGGCCAATGACTCTTCAGGAGATTAAAAGTTCGCTGCTTTCCCCATAGCAATCCATCAGAAGCAGATTCTAGTGAGGAAGACGGATCTGGCCTCAGTGAGAGAGAGAGAGAGATGTATGTACAGCTCTGCGTGTAAGAGTATGTCTACATGCAATGCAGTGCAGATGCTGGAGCTAGGTCTGAATAAGCTAGTTCAGGTGCTGGAAGCACTAGCTGCACTAATGTCAAACTCATCCTGGGTTAATTATCACTACCCAAATCCAAATTAGTCTGGACAGAATGTAATTCTAGCACAACTCTTGCTTTTTTGAGCTCCAAGGAAAAAGGGAGAAAAACAGCTGGAACCAACAGACATCATGGGACTGTAAATGTGGCCCTGAGAGAAAGTGGAGGGAACTTTGTGGGCCGAGTACAGCGGTGCATGTAGGATCATGCCTGTGTGGCACAATGTTGCAGGGGGGCTGCCTGTAAAGGCATGCATTACAGCGGTGGGAGTCGGGGGGTGAAATTATGCTACAGCAGGGTAAAATTTGAGCTCGTGCTTGTGGCCCAAATGGTGTACAGGTGTGGCCCCCAAGGGCTGAGAAGCTGGACAGCCCTACTTTAGACTAAAGATACTGAACATGTTTTGTTACACAAGGTGCTGTATCTTTATCTCCACCACTACAATATAGATGAACGGCCTCTTGGTCACGACTAATATGAACGTCAGATGAAAATGCAGGCTTGCTCATCTGGGAACAGAGCAGCAATCTACACACTCATCTGGGAACCAAACGCATATTTTTAGGAAGAATTTGCTCACTGTTCGAGGCACTCTCCTGTAACCAGCTTTCCCCTCCACTCGTGACATCCATCCAACATCCATTGCGCTTTGGTCAGGCACGTTCAGCTGCGAAGGAATCATCTCCATGGAAAACCAACTGCTTGCTGTGCAGGCATCTCACGCTGCTGAAAGCGCGGTTAGAGTGCGCAAGAAGTTTGCCGGCAACGTATGGCTTCAACCAGCATTGCCTGGAGGCAGCAAGGAAAAGGCCATGCTGCAGCCAGCTGAGCAGGAGAAGGAAGGAGTGCTCAGTTGGCTGCTTCTAGTCCGCATAGGGACACAAGGGTGTTTGTACAGCTGGAGGAGGCCGTGAGGAGCCAGAGGCTAAAACTGGCCGCTAGCAAAGTGCTGGCAGCCCCAAGCACTGAACATGTGTTCCTGCTTAAAGAGGGCAGGCTGGAGCAGCGCCATCCCCACAGCCTCGCATCCTGCACAGCTCCCCCGGTTTCCAGGTGCTGACGGCGGTGCCGGTTCCTCAGCCGGAGCTCTTGAAAGGACTCCTTGGATGCATGGGGGGCCCTGCCCTCCTCCCACCTGTGGGTCTCCCTGCCCTGGGAACAGGCGATCCAAGCCAGCCTGAGAAACCGGCAGCCCTGAGCTTTGCCTCGGGTCTGGTCTCCACGTTGGGCTCCCCTAGAAACAGGGCGGGCCCTTGAGTGGGTGCTTGGGGTGGCAATGACATAACAGCACTGACGTCACGCCGAGGGGCGGGTGAGGTAGCTGCGGGCCGCTCAGGGGGTAGTGGGCCCCGCCCCGCGTGCTCCCACACCCGACGCTGATTGGCTGCCTGTCTCCCTCCCCCGCGTCGGCTTCTCCCTGGGGCTTGGGC